AGCCTGAGAAATATGAATAAAACGTTTTCGTGGTGGGGGACAGAGCAGCTGCAGAGAGCCTTGAGAATCCCCAGTCAATCCAAAATCTAGTGACATTTCTGTCAGTTTGCGTTTGTACGCACACATGTTCAACGGGAAGGAATGAACACCTCTCCACAGCCACTCCCCACGGGGAGGCCAGACTAGAGCTGCATTCAAGAGTTGTGCAAGGCTGGGGATGTGGAATTCCACACCGTCTTGCCTCACAGCTCTGTGTGGACAGGATGCCTGGAAAGACGCTGTGGGGCGTAAGGGGATCGCTGATTTTGCAGCGCACAGCTCCTGTGGAACTGGTCTGTGGCCATTGATAGGTCACTTGGTCTCTCTTACTGACCATAAGATGGAGAATTAAATGCTCTCTGAGGTCCATTCTAGCTCCCTTGTCTCTAGATCTGGTTCTAACTATGTCTGCCCTACCCAGATTCCATCGCAGCTAAATCACCACTGTCAATCTGAGCCGGGGCGGAGCCCCATTTCTTGAACTCTTGCCTCAGTCTGACCCTTTGTCACCACGCCGGGACCCATCTGTCGCCCTCGCCCCTTTCACTGCAGGTGTCAGCCAGTCCCCTGTGTTTGGGGACTGTTGGGGGATACAGGGTGGGAAAAACTGACCTTGGGAGAGGAACAAGCTAGGACAGACCATGGGCAGGCACGCTCCTTTCCCCAAGGAGTCTCCTCCTCCTGAGAGGTGCTGCCCCTCCCTCAAGCACTTTCCAGTAATGTGCCGCCCACTGCAGGCAAGAAGCCAGGAGTGAAGAGATCGAGCCCTTTACTGTAGCCTGGGCTCAGTCTAGAGGCCCCTCAGGGCTGAAGCCCCACTGCAGAATACTAGGAAAAAAGACCGAACAGAAGACTGGGGAGACGGGATGGGAGGGGAAGGATGCCAGGGACGTGAGTGCTGACCAGATACCCCGGGAGCTGTCTTCAGTAGGAGAAAGCACATTGTCCCCTGGTCAAGAGACCCCAAACCCAGGCCTGAGCAGCCTGCGAGGACACATCCTGCCTCTCAGAGCACCAGCTGTTCACCTGCCATAGAGGACTCATTCCAGAAAAGCATGGCCATCCCCATGAGCTCCTCACAGAGGTCCCCAGGGCCCAGCAGAGCCAGCCTAGGAAAGTACTGACACTCCAGCAAGTGACTGAGAGCTCTTTTCCCCAGGCCCGAGACACCCATGCCGGAGCAGAATCCTTCCTCGCAGGGCTGCGTGCTGCAGTGTAGCTGTACTACCCAACGTGAGGAGGGCTGAGTGAGATGGCGCGTGCTTCCAGCGCAGTGCTGGCCCAGGGGACATGTCAGAACAGCCAGCATCCTCCACGTTACTGCCCCAGCTTGCTTCGCTCACTCACTCTGTCCAGGCAGGAGCTGTGACCAGCTCATCTTTGTACACCAGCTCTGAATGGCCTGATGAGCACAGAGGAGGCGTTTTCCCAGCCTTGCTGCTAGGTGGGGGTGGATGCTGTCTTCTGCGTGCTCCGCACTGTCTCTTTAGACTCTGTCTCCTTAGGCCACTGTTGTTGCTGACTCTGTAGAGCAGACCACGACAGTCAAGGAAGGTCAGCTGACTGGAGCTGGACTCTTTTTTGGGAGGTGGTGTGGTACTTTTAAAAGGATTTATTTATTTGTGTGTATGTGTGGGAGTGCCATAGCCTGCCTGTGGGGATCAGAAAACAACCTGTAAGGCTTGGTTCTCTTCACTGTGTGGCACCCAGGGTTCAAACTTGGGTCATCAGGCTTGGCAGCAAGCACCTTTATCTACTGAGCCATCTCACCAGTCCCTAGAGCTGCATTTTTGACCTTGTAAGCTGCTTTCTGGCCCATTATAAGAATTCCACTCCCATGCCGGGCGTTGGTGGCGCACGCCTTTAATCCCAGCACTCGGGAGGCAGAGGCAGGTGGATCTCTGTGAGTTCGAGGCCAGCCTGGTCTACAAGAGCTAGTTCCAGGACAGCCTCCAAAGCCACAGAGAAACCCTGTCTCGAAAAACCAAAAAAGAAAAAAAAAGAAAAAAAAAGAATTCCACTCCCTTTGCTGGGCGTTGGTGGCAGAGGCAGGCGGGTCTCTGTGAGTTCGAGGCCAGCCTGGTCTACAGAACAAGTTCCAGGACAGGCTCCAAAGCAATACAGAGAAACCCTGTCTCAAAAAAAAAAAAAAAAAAAAAAAAAAAAAAGAAAGAAAGAAAGAAAGAAATCTACTCCCCTAAACTCAACTGACTCAGTTTCCTATGAGTAAATGCCATTTAAAAACAATTTTAAACTTTTAAGCTCAGTTTTAGAGGGTATTGTTTTTTGCTTTGTGTGTATGTGTTTACATTTTGTATATGTGTGTGTGTGTATTTACATTGGGTGTGTGTATGTGTATATATGTGTTTACATTGTGTGTATGTGTGTATTTACCTTGGGTGTGTACATTGTGTGTGTGTGTGTAGGTCAGAGGTTAAAGTTGGGTGTCTGCTTCTATAACTCTTCACCTTGTACGTTGAGGGAGGGTCTCTCCCTTGAGCCCAGAGCTGGTTGATTCAACTAGTCCAGCCAGCCAACTTGCTCTGGGTCATCCCTAATTCCCTTTACCCTTGCAGGATTATAGGTGGTCTGCCACACCCACCTAGGATGTGTGTGGGTGCTGGGGATCTGAACTCCAGTCCTTTGCTGGGGCAGCAAACACTTTAACCCAGCAAGCCACCAACCCTGGCCCAGTTCTGGAGGTTTCAGTCTAAGATTGAATGACCCTCTTGCTTTGGGTCTGTGGTGAACAGCACATGGTGGGGGCAGGGCAGCACATGGTGAACCAAATGCAGGGAGAGAACTTTGTGAGTGGGGGTCCCTTACTTCCCTCTCAGTGACCTAAAAGCCTCACTTGACCTCTTGAAGGATCTGTCACCGCCTGTTACTAACCCTTTAAAACTTGGAGCCTGAGAATCACTCAGATCCACAGTGTAGCAGACCTACAGCCTCCGCTTCAGGGCAGTGCAGATCTCTGGGTAAGGTGCTGTGGTCTGTCTCCACTCTGTAGCTGGTTGCCTGGCCTCTGAGGGGCAGGAAGAAAGGTGATGACTGTGGCTCGGAGGCTGAGAGGAGGCACAAGAGGGAGTCCTGTTTTGCCCTCGGCAGACAGGCTGGTCAGGGAGGACCCGGATGAGGAGGCAGATGTACACTTCACCAGCCGCACAGCTGGGGCCTCTCAACTGGAAAAAGACAGGCTCGTTTTGGGAAACTTGGAAGAGTTTGAGTATAGGGACTGGGGAGGGGAATGGGACAAGAGATGTACCCGCCAGCTGAACATTGGGTGTTCCTGGTAGACCCTACAGCCTAGACAGCTTCTCAGCACACGAGGTGACTTTTGAAACGTGGAACATGTACAAGGTAGGGTCCTTCCTACCCTAAGATAGAGATGTGTTTTTCCCTAGTATGTTGTCAGCGTCTCCTAGGAGCTTGGCATTGTATTTGGACTGTTGTGGTGCTCATATTGCCCCGGTCAGTACCTGGACATTGGATGTTCTTTGCTAGAGGTAGAAATGTCCTTCTTTCCCAAGGGGGAAATGAAGGCAAGGATCTGGTCAGGCAGGTCCTTGAGGATTGTGGGTATTTTCAAGTCAGCTTGCTAGGTAGGGGAGAGGAGGGAGCATCATTCTTGAGCAAAGAGCTCACTACCTCTTGACCCAGCTGGCATTGCATTTGGGTGCCCAGGTCTTCACCCACATTCCCACTGCAAAACCAAACCAAAGAGCTCATAGGGAACGTGGGACTCTGTAACCAAACCTGGGGTCCACAACAGAGAATGGATGCTACCGATGGAGAAATACTTGGAGAAATAGTTGGTGGCTGTCAGGATGGCTTGATGGGGAGGGAGGCTAGGAGAACTAAAACTTCAGAACTGTGGAGTTGGCTGGGAGCTGGGCATCAGACCTAGGTTCCCTCATGGTTCTGCTACTGACTTGCTCTGACTTTGGGCAAGTCCCTTTACCTTTCCAGCCTCCATTGCCTGTCTTTAGAGTGGGATGGGCTAAAGGAAGGGTGGCAGAGAGATTTCCCTTCACTTGCCCAAGCTGACTGATGGCTTTTGACTCTTGGGATCTTGTCTGGAGCAGCTGCCTGGTATCCGGAAAAGCATGCCTCGGTTATGTACAGCCGCTTTCCTGCCTGCAAGTCTGGGATTGGAGGTCTCTGCATGTGCTCTGCAGCTTTGCAGACCAGGCCTGTTGTCCCCACATTCCTCCTGGCACTGGTGCTCTTTGGTTCTCCTGGCTCTCTGCTGTCTCCACTTACACACCAGTCATTGTCAGCCGTGGCTTATACACTTCCATGGCGTGGAGCTCGCCGCCTTCCCCAAGACAGAGTCACTAGATTGTTCTTCCCTGCGTGGGACGTAAGCCAGCCTCCCTGAACTTGTGCCTGAAAAGATGCCATGCTCAGGAATAGGTTGATGTCTCAGGCACTTTGCACCTTGGTGACCAGTTTAATTTCTGTCTGCTAGAGGCATATAGAGCTGCAGCTTTCTAACAGTTTATGACTGTGACAGAGACAGCTGGTGAATGATCTGTGAAAACATCAGCCTAAAGTGGCTCAAAAGGTAAAGACTTGCTGCCAAGCCTGAGGACCTGAGTTCAATCCCCAGGACCCATATGCTAGAAGGAAAGAACCAACTCCCACAAGTTGTCCTCTGACATCCACCCACGTGCGATGGCGCATGCTCACATGTATATGCATGCACACACATGCATGTCAGGTAAATGTAAATTTTAAGAATAATTTATTTTATACCACAGCCCTGTGAAGCTGGTATTATCCCTTCCATTTTACAGGCAAGGAAGCCGAGGCTCAGAGAGTTAACAGAGCGGCCTTCTGAGACCAAGCCTGTGCACCTCTCGCCAGATGCTCTCCTGGTCCCCAGTCCTGTCCCCAAACTTCTGTTCTTCTGGCTCCCCTGAAAAGCCCACGGCCTCCCGTTCTCTCGCCCTTCACAGGTTTCCATGTGATCCCCACCATCTCGAGCATCGTCCCGGAGAGCTGCCTGCTGATCGTGGTGGGGCTGCTGGTGGGGGGCCTGATCAAGGGTGTCGGCGAGACGCCCCCCTTCCTGCAGTCAGACGTCTTCTTCCTCTTCCTGCTGCCACCCATCATCCTGGATGCGGGCTACTTCCTGCCACTGCGGCAGTTCACGGAGAACCTGGGCACCATCCTGATCTTTGCTGTGGTGGGCACACTGTGGAACGCGTTCTTCCTGGGTGGCCTCCTGTACGCCGTGTGCCTGGTGGGCGGTGAGCAGATCAACAACATTAACCTGCTGGACACCCTGCTCTTCGGCAGCATCATCTCGGCCGTGGACCCGGTGGCTGTGCTGGCTGTCTTTGAGGAAATCCATATCAACGAACTGCTACACATCCTCGTCTTCGGGGAGTCCCTGCTCAATGATGCTGTCACTGTGGTGAGGGGTCAGGGGCCACACCACACACACATGGGGCATCCGCAATGCCTTATCCTTCCACTGATGCTAATATAGATGGCCACTTCTCACACAGCTGAGTTCTCCGTCATATCCTTCCACCGATGCTAATATAGATGGCCACTTCTCACACAGCTGAGTTCTCCATCTTGGTCTCTTCTAGCAACCCTGCCAAGGGTTACACATGAGCCTCAGCTCGTACAGAAGCTAGCCTGTCAGTTTCCTGGGGATCATATAGGACCTCTGCTTATTAATGTATGCCCTAAGCTACTTGGTACCTGAGTTGAACCCTCCCCAGCTGAGTCTGGATATGAATTCATGTTGACACTACTGGAAACAATGGCAAGCTGGCATCAAGGTGATAACTCAGATCTGGGTGTGTAGGACCTGTGCCATCTCCTGACAGTGGTGATCATGTGGCCCATGTCCAGCTGCTTCCGGTCTGAATGCATCTTGCTTTGTCTAGTTTGCATAGTGATTCTGGCTGCATAGTGAGTCTTCGTTAGGGTTTATATTGCTGTGATAAAATACCATGAGCAAAAGCAATTTGAGGAGGAAAGGGTTTATTTCAGCTTACAGTCAGGTCATGTCCCATCACTGAGGGAAGTCAAGACAGGAACTGGAGGCAGGAACCGAAGCAGAAACTAGAGGAGAGCCACTTAATTGGCTTGTTCAGCCTGCTTTCTTGTACAACCCAGGACCTGATGGAAGCATTTTCTCAGCTGAAGGTCTTCTTCCCAAGTAACTCTGGCTGTGTAAAGTTAGCAAAAAATGACTGGGCAGTGGTGGCGCACGCCTTTAATCCCAGCACTCAGGAGGCAGAGGCAGGCGGATCTCTGTGAGTTTGAGGCTAGCCTGGTCTATAGAGTGAGTTCCATGACAGCAAGGGCTATACAGAGAAACCCTATCTCAGGAAAACAAACAAAAAGATAGCAAAAGGTAACCAGGGCAGTGGCATTTTTATTCAAGTGTCACCACATGACGAAGCGGAGGTATTAAGAGGCTCCGCTGGCTGCTTAGGGGAGCTGCTGGAGTCACATGACCCTACACACAGGCCTACTCCATATTCTCTTGGCTTCTTGTCACACCACTGGCGATAGCTCCAGGCTAGAAAGGAGGCCCTGGCCTATGTACCGTCCCAGTGGCCCAGGTGGCAGACCACTGGAGTACTCGTGAGCATCCCCAGGCCAGGAGGGAGGTTAGAGTAGGGAGGAGCACACCTGCTGCTGAGATCCATCCTGTCTCCCAGATGGGTGTGACCTGCCGGCAGCACTGGATCCTGCCAGTGCTCAGCATCTACCCCTCCTGTCAGGCCCAAGTTAGAGCGTGGTACAGGTGTGGAAGCCATAATCCTAAGACAGTCTAAGACAGTGACGCTGCACCTGAGCCTCCTGACATCAGGTCTCTGTCTTGTCACCCTTTCCTGTCTGCCTCCCCTTCCTTCCAGGCCTGGAAAGTTCCTATCTGGTTCCCAGCAGAGCTGTCTAGGGCTGGACTTGAGTAGACTGGGGAGCCACCATGTCAGTCCCCTAGAACAAAAACCAGAGACTGAGGGAACAAGTTCTGAGCCCAGTCCTGCCCCTTGGCGGGCCCCTCTGGCCTGTTAGCTGGTATGTTTGAACCTCCCTCCAGCAAGGAGATAGGTTTCCTTGGCCTGCACACTGATAAAGATCGTCGGTGTGTGACGACCATTTGCAGACTGTTTCCCATTCCAGGGCTGGGAAGCTGTAGAGGGGCCTCCAGCTCCCCGGGCAGCTTGTTTAATGGAGGTATCCTTGGCCTGCACACTGATAAAGATCGTCGGTGTGTGACGACCATTTGCAGACTGTTTCCCATTCCAGGGCTGGGAAGCTGTAGAGGGGCCTCCAGCTCCCTGGGCAGCTTGTTTAATGGAGATTTTTCACTCCCACGTGGTGGGTCCCAAGTTGCGTATGGCCTGGCCCCATGAATTTTCAGAGGTTAACAGGTCCTATTCTTGTTTGCTGTCCAAACTTCCCTGCTTTGAGCTAAAGGAGAGGCAGTCCAGAGAGGCCTCGGTTTATGCAAGGTCAAACCGTGAGATCAGTAGACTCGGTGGTACCGGTAGTGGCAGCACCGCAGGGAGTGCCATGCTGAGCACTTCACCAACAGTTCTCCGACAGCCTGTGACGGGCGCTCCGCTTGCTCCCGCCCGCTAAACTGAAGCACGGGAAGACTAGGTTATTGGCCGTGTGTACAGGGGATTGCAGTTTAGCTGCCCAGCTTTAGAGTTTGTGTGCCGCAGGCCTCCAAAGAGGAAGGTCCCCAACGCCCAGGCCAGGGTTCCACACTTACTCAGCACCAGGGTTTCTCTGCTGCCGTGTAGGTTATGTTCATGGCTGTGGGTCCTGGAGGGGTGGGATAAGCATCGGTGGGATAACAAGGGAGCCATGGGGCCGGGGTCCTGACCTCCTTGCCCACAAGCCTACATGTCCTTTTCAGGTCCTGTATCACCTCTTTGAGGAGTTTGCCAGCTATGAGTATGTGGGCATCTCGGACATCTTCCTCGGCTTCCTGAGTTTCTTCGTAGTGGCCCTCGGTGGGGTGTTTGTGGGTGTGGTCTACGGGGTCATCGCAGCCTTCACCTCACGATTCACCTCTCACATCCGCGTCATCGAGCCGCTCTTCGTCTTCCTCTACAGCTACATGGCTTACCTGTCAGCTGAGCTCTTCCACCTGTCAGGGATCATGGCGTGAGTCCAGGTGTGGCGGGCGGTGGGCTTGGTAGGGGGAGCCACTTAGCATGCCATGCCCAGGTCTGCGTGGCTGCCAAGGAGCTCCCGGCACATGGACACTGGGCTGCAGACTTCCCTGCTGTCCCCTGGAGTGGTCCAGGTCATTAGAGGCTGCCCATAAAAAGCCACCACTGGGCTCTAGGATTCAGGAATCTGAAGATTGCCTGAAAGCAGATGAGGCAGAAAGCAACCCAGGTTAGGGCTGGCCTCAGTCACAGGAGGCAGACTCTTGTGCTGCCCTAGGAAGCCCCGAGCCTGAAGTCTTAGGTCTCAGTCCGGCTACTTCCTCCCTTTTTCTCAAGTGGATCACTAGGTAGAAGCTGGCACAGGCTCCTAGAAGGGCACCAGCATCTTACCAGACCTGAGTCATAAAAGCCCTGGGGTCTCTGCTGATTTTGCGGTGGACCATGGGAAGAGTCGGTGAGGGATAAGGAGAGCAGAAGTGCAGAGGCCGATCTAAAGTGGAGGACACAGGCTTTAGTCTCTTGCATTGCCACTCACCTCAGCTAGACAATGGGGGTGACTTTATTTTTCCAAAAGTCCCGTCTCATGTCTGAAAAATGCAAGAATTCGCTGGTCGTGTGTATGCTTAATGTGAGGGTCAAGGAGACACAGTGTGTGTGTTTTTGGTCCTCACGTGTTACCTGGTAAGCAGGTGAGCAGGTGCTTGGTCAGCCTGCTAATAGTGGGTACAACTCACCTCAAGACTTTTCTTCTTCACCCCAAGGCTCATCGCCTCAGGAGTAGTGATGCGCCCCTATGTGGAGGCCAACATCTCCCACAAGTCACACACCACCATCAAATACTTCCTGAAGATGTGGAGCAGCGTCAGCGAGACCCTCATCTTCATCTTCCTGGGTGTCTCCACTGTGGCCGGCTCCCACCAGTGGAACTGGACCTTTGTCATCAGCACCCTGCTCTTCTGCCTCATCGCCCGGGTACTGGGTAAGGGCCAGACCCAAGCCAAGGGAGGAGTGTGTGTGTGTGTGTGTGTGTGTGTGTGTGTGTGTGTGTGTGTGTGTGTGACTGCGAGCAGGAACCAGGCTGTGGAGGAGCCATGTGTAATATAGAATGAGACTAAGTTGTGGGGTGTGTATGTGTTCCTAAGAACAGGACTGCGGTATGTGTGTGTGCTGTTTGTGTATGTGTGGTAAGGTGTGTTAGAGCTGGTCTATAGCGTGTGTGACACAGTGCTAGCTGGGTTGTGATGTATGGTACAGCATGTGGAGGGGAAGGGCTGGGAGTGTCAGTAGTGTATGAGGGTGCTGGGCTGTGGGTGGGTGCTGGGCCGTGGGTGTCTGTACCTAGTGTGTGGCGGAGCTGAGTTGTGGGGCATGTCCAGCACAGTGTGTGGAGGAGCTGAACTGTGAGGTGTGTTGGGTACCGTGTATTGAGGTGCTGAGCTGTGGGATGCTGTGGTATAGGTGAGGAGGGGCTACGTTGTGGGTGTCTGCTGCAGAGTATTGAGGGGCTGATCTGTGGAGTGTATAGTGTGTAGGGGCCAGTTTGTGAGATGTGGATAGTACAGTGTGTTCCTGGCTGCTCCCATCTCTTCTCTGCAATGCTGGCACCATTTGAGACCATTGAGGGGAGAGAAGCCCCATGCTCATAGTGTGTGGAGACACTGGAGACGATGCCACAGTGAGTCCCTAAGACCCTCCAAAAGCCTAGTGACTTTCTCAGACCCTAAACCCAGCTTGTGACTCTGATCAAGTGTTCCCAAAGTTACCAGGCTAGTGTCACTGTGGGATCTAATCCTGTGGGATCCACCCCCATGCGCCAGGTTGTCCTTGTTTCAATGTGAAGCAATGTTTCCTTCTGTATTTTGCTCCCTTTTCCCTGTGATGAGAGCCAAGTCTGCGATTCCTATCACATGTACTTGGGGCCCTTTGTGTGATGGTCTGTGTGTGCCTATGCACGTGGAAGCCAGAGGTCCACAGTGGTGGCTTCCCCTGTCCCTCTCTACATATTTTTGGGTTTTTTGTATGTTTCTGTGTTTGTCTGAGACAAGGTCTTACTATGTAGACCAGGCTGGGCTAGAACTCTTGGTAATCCTGCCTCAGCCTCATGAGTGCTGGAATTACAGGGGTGCGATTTTGTGGGATTTTTATTGTTGGCAAGCAGGTTTTGTTTGTATGTTCTGTGATGTTAGGGATCAAACCGAGGGCCTCATGCGTGCAGGGCACAACACCCTTCCTCATCTTCCCTGCATTGTGAAATAATGTTTTATTATGGACAGTTTCCAGTATATAGAAAAGTGAGACAATAGACTAATGATTTCCCTCCTGCTCACCTGTAATAAGTAAGACTCATCACCACTCATCATCTCCTATCCCTTGACCTGTAGCCCTGAAGGACTCTGGGTATCTTCAGAACAGATGCAGGTGAAAGAACCCTTTAGAGACCCACTGAGGTGTTGGGGTGAGTGAACTGGAGCTCGTGGCTGAGGGACCCAGGAAGTGAGTGATCTAGATAGGTCAGTAGGAGGGGCTTCCTGGACAGCCTGACCTCTCCTCTGCCTGCTCCCTGGCAGGTGTGCTGGGCCTGACCTGGTTCATCAACAAGTTCCGCATTGTCAAGCTGACCCCCAAGGACCAATTCATCATCGCGTATGGGGGCCTGCGCGGGGCCATCGCCTTCTCCCTGGGCTACCTCCTGGACAAGAAGCACTTCCCCATGTGTGACCTGTTCCTCACCGCCATCATCACTGTCATCTTTTTCACAGTCTTCGTGCAGGTGCTGGGCCCGGGGTGGGCGTGCCCCTGCTCTGGGGAAAGGGGAAGGTGAAAAGGGCTGTGGGCACTCTGACTTTAGGCCTCAGTTCTGAGTTGTGGTGATGTGTGGGAGCTTGTGAAGTCAATGATCAGTGTGTGACGTGAGCAGAGTGCTGCCCAACTTCAGGAAGAGCCACTGAAGCACCATGGGCAGCCGGCAGCCTGAGATACGCCTGCCCCAGCTCGCAGCAGGGCTGCAGTGGTTTCATGCTTTGTCGTCTCCAGCAGGGTTCACAGCATGGCAGCTGCACCATCTCTTGAGCCGGGGAACTTGAGGCCTGGGCTCAGCCTAATGCTCCACTAGCTGTGCTTCTTGGGGTGGCGCACCTGTCTGTGTCTCTGTTCCCCATTTGTGAAGGGAGGAGACTGCACTAGATGATCCCAAGAGTTCTGGGCATTTACATGACCCAGTCTCAGCAGAGCTCCACCCGTCTCTAGCCACCTCCCAGGGAAGCCCATGTGGGGTGTTGCACACTGTTCTCCCATAGCTGACTGGCCTGCAATGGGGGAGAAACTGTTGGGTCTCCATTTCTCTTCCATCCCGTCTTTCCTTTGCTTTTTCTTGAGAAGATGTGGGGAGACCTCTTGGGGTGGGGTGCAGTTTCTTGGAGTGAGCTTCTTTCTGTGCTCTTGTCCTGCTGTGTCCTCAGAAACACTGCTTTATCTGGCCTTTGCTGTTGCATCTGCTCAATGGGTTTCCAAGCCCACTTTCACTGACGATGCTGATCCCCTCGAGCCCGTCTGACTCTGGGTCTGCTCCTTCTGTTGGGCCTTAGGAAATCACTTAGCCTCTCTACTGTTCAGTTTCCTCAGCTGTAAAATGGGAACATTTTAAGGAGCCAGGTTTCGGGGATACTGCTGGCATTGAAGCACAGACACTAGAGAAACACACAGAGCCTGTGAGGGAAGCAGGATGGAGGAGTTCCCTGTCTGCAGGGCCTGACTCCCTGGGCTGCACACAGACCTGTGGTAGAGCCCACACTGAACCCAGGCCCCAAGTAGGTGGGCAGTGAGGCTTCTTCCACAGGCTGAGCTGTCAGATCTCTGACTGCTGTCTCCAGGAAGAAGTGGGCTTTACAAACGGGCCTTTATTTACATCCTGAGGTAGAGAGTTATAAACCCCCCAGTCCTGGGAGATTGAAGGCCTCCAAGGGGAGCTTCTCAGGAACCCTTAGCCTCCCTGCCAGGGTAGCAGAACCACGATGTCTGATACTTACCTGCCCTCTAGGGCATGACCATTCGGCCCCTGGTAGACCTCTTGGCTGTGAAGAAAAAGCAAGAAACAAAGCGTTCCATCAATGAGGAGATCCACACACAGGTACTGGAGGCTGGACTGACTGGGCCTTGGGTTGCTGGAGAAGGCTGGATCTGGGCACAGCTGGGCGTAAGCCCACCTTCCCTCATCCCAGTGTTAGGTGGTCTCTCGGCCCCATTGGGGCCCCCTGACAGGTTCTAGCTGAAGGGAAAGTGTGGTGTGAGCAGTTAGGAGCTCAAGAGGCTGTTATGCCATCCCTTCCTCTGCTTGGAACCAGCCTCTGTCATTAGGTGCAAGTGGGTTGGAGCGGGCTCACCAGGGTGTGTGGGCTGAGCTTCAGGATGAATGAGGGGAAGGCGCCACCTCCTGGCTACTCCTGGAACTATAGGGCCAGGCTAAGCAGACCCATAGTTGGGTTGGAGGTGGGTGGGGTAGGGAAGGAGCCCAGAAGTAAGGCTTGACCTGGCCCTGGGCTCATTTCAGTTCCTGGACCACCTTCTGACAGGCATCGAGGACATCTGTGGTCACTATGGCCACCATCACTGGAAGGACAAGTAGGTGACGGTCTGGTGGGCAGGAGGGTCGGGAGGACAGTTAAGGGTCCCTGGGGGCCCAGGCATCTTCTTATGCCTAGGAACTAGCCCCATCCACCTCCCTCCTCCCACAGGCTCAACCGGTTTAATAAGAAGTACGTGAAGAAGTGTCTGATAGCTGGTGAGCGCTCCAAAGAGCCCCAGCTCATTGCCTTCTACCACAAGATGGAGATGAAGCAGGCCATCGAGCTGGTGGAAAGTGGAGGCATGGGCAAAATCCCTTCTGCTGTTTCAACTGTCTCCATGCAGTGAGTCCATTGGGCAACCTGGGCAGCATCTGCACCCGTGTTACCTCCCCAGCCCCCGCCTGGGGTGGCCACCAGGGCTATGCTGCTGTCTAGCTAGTCAAGGTGGATGTTCGAGTCCTTAAATCTATAGTAAGGCTTGGCTTTGGTCACCCACTCCTGGGCATGGCCTTCTGCTGCCGAAATGGAGATCTAACCCATGTTCCGCTGTCCCAGAAACATCCACCCCAAGTCTATGGCATCGGAGCGCATCTTGCCGGCACTGTCCAAGGACAAGGAGGAGGAGATCCGCAAAATCTTGAGGAGCAACCTGCAGAAGACGCGGCAGCGGGTGAGGCCCTGCCCCAGCCTGCCACCTTCTTAGCGGCTGTCCCCCGAACCTCCTTGGCACCTGCTCTGCATCCCCTACCCTTCTCCTGCCTCCCACACAGCCAGAGCCTCTCTGGCCCTGGCCTTCCTGCCCAGCTCCTGAGTCCTCCCCTCCCGATGGTGTTCCTCCCTCAGCTGCGGTCCTATAACAGACACACGCTGGTGGCCGACCCCTACGAGGAAGCCTGGAACCAGATGCTGCTCCGGAGACAGAAGGCCCGGCAGCTGGAGCAGAAGGTCGGTGTGGGCTGGGCCTGCCTCTCCCACCCCATAGGCTGGAGGCTGCACTCTTCTTCCTGCACTCACACCCAAGGGCACCTCAGGCCTGCCAAGCTCCTCTGAGGGCATGCACCTATTTTAGATCCAGACAACAGACGGAGAGGTTAATTGATGGTGTGCGGCTTTATCCCCTGTGAGAAAGGGTGGGGATGGCAGGGAAGGAAAGGAAGAAGTGAGCCCAAGGGACACTGGGAAGTGGAGCCAGCAAGGCTTGGTGGCTGGGTTGACTAGTTTGAGGTGGGGCCACTTGGGTGGAACAGGAATCTGAAGGGGGTGGTAGAGATCACCGAGTACCCAAGAAAGGGACAAGGCTTGATGACAGGTAAGGGGCTGAGCTCAGTTGTGATGGCCTGGGTTTGACCGCCTGGGGCCATATGGGATTTAGGCATGCCACCTCAAGCTGTTTTTTATTGCTATTGGTCTATTGTTTTGTTTTGTTTTACTCTAGAATCTTGGGAGTCAGCTGTGGGTTGGAGGCAAGGCTAGCACAAAGTAGATCTGTTTGAGTCTACCCAGGAAGGCGACAGGGCTTGCTGAGAGCCTGGGACAAGTCCCCAGAAGGCCCTGGAGTGTCTGTGTGGGTGCCGGCACTGACAAAGGGACAGCCCATTGAGCCACTGCCTTCCAGAGGACACTGCCAGCCCGCTGCCCACACTCACCCTGTCCGCTCTCTCTGGCAGATCAGCAACTACCTGACGGTGCCAGCCCACAAACTAGACTCACCCACCATGTCGCGGGCCCGCATAGGCTCAGGTAAAGGGCTAAAGAGGGGCCTTCAGGCTGGGTGTTTTGTGCCAGGGACAGGCCTCAGAGTCAGGGAAGACCTCCCCGCTGTCAAATGCAGGTACAAGGTGCTGCCAGAGGGGCTCAGGACGGGGACTACCACGGAGCTACAACACAGAGCACCTGGCAGGGGGCAGACATCACTAGTCCATGAAGAGAAACAGGCAGGCCTCGGCCTGCAGGCCATGACTCAGGAAAATGTCCTATTTCTTTCTTTTTAAAAAAATTATTTAACTTTATTGCATTGGTGTGAGAGTGTCAGATCTCCTAGAATTGGAGTTACAGACAGTTATGAGTTGCCACGTGGGTGCTGGGAATTGAACCCTGGTCCTCTGGAAGAGCAACCAATGCTCTTAACCTCTGAGCCATCTCTCCAGCCCTATTTCTTAACCTGTGGGACACCAGTGGGAGCCCCTGATCCAAGGAGAGCAGCTGGTAACTGGGCTCACTCGGGCCCGTGTGGACAAAGTTGTGAAGCCCATAGACATGTTTGCATCATGGGGAGGTCCGAGAGCCACTGGTACAGAACCCGTCTATGCTTTGCTTTCAATCCACAGACCCACTGGCCTATGAGCCCAAGGCGGATTTGCCTGTCATCACCATCGACCCAGCCTCCCCACAGTCACCTGAGTCTGTGGACCTGGTGAACGAGGAGTTGAAGGGCAAGGTCCTAGGGCTAAACCGGGATCCAACAAGGCTGACTCGGGAGGAGGAAGATGAAGATGAGGATGGCGTCATTATGATGCGCAGCAAGGAGCCCTCATCCCCAGGCACCGATGATGTCTTCACCCCTGCACCAAGTGACAGCCCCAGCTCCCAGAGAATACAGCGCTGCCTCAGTGACCCAGGCCCCCACCCCGAGCCTGGGGAGGGAGAGCCTTTCATCCCCAAAGGGCAGTAGGGCCAGGCCAGTGGGTGTCCCATAGACTCTCCCACAGAGTGGGGGCTGGGAGCTCCCTTTGCCTCCTGACCTGGATTGGTCCGGCCCCCTCCTACGCATGGCAGCTGGGTCCACAGCCCCCACTGCAGCACGGCTTGCCCCTGCCTCCTGGGAAGTGTCCTCTCCCACCAGAACTGCCTTCCCAATTCATTCGGCAGAACAGCTGGGCTGGTGAGGCGGGCCGCCCCATCTCTAGATCCAGGCTCTCATACTGGAACCAGGGCTCCACGAGGCCCCACCTTCCCGTAGTCCCCTCCTCATCCAGACCAATTTTCCATCTTTGATCATCATTTCTAACCAAAGAGCCACTGGCTCCACTGTGGTCCTACCAGGAAAGGAGGGAGCTGAACCTTCCTTGCCCTCGACTGGGCCCTCCTGTATCAGAGGACAGCAGGCATGTGGCTGGGAGACAGATGGGTGACCCAAGGCAGACCTACGCTACGCCTGTCAGCCATGGCACCCTGGCCAGCCACCTCACTCAGAGTCGCAGGCTAGGGGCACCTCAGAGCTCCTCTGCTGGGAACTGGGTTTTAAACAGTTGTGACTTGGGTGATGGGGACCACTGGGCCTTTCTGGGGCTGCTGCATGGGAGGGACCGTCCAAGGCGCCAGAAAGTGCTGCCTTTTTACATTTTGTTTATCCGCACCTCCATGTAAGTAAGTACGACCCTGTTTGCACAGAGGCACTCCTGTTTGTAGACCCTTTGAGACCCTCCCTCCAGCCAGAGCTCCACCTCCTACCCTCCTCTTCCTTCCTGTTGTCTGACCCTGCCCCTAAATCGAACCTCTGCCTGCTGGGCTCTTTTGCCCACGGCACTGATTGAGACATGGCCCACCTTGTGATTCAAGCTCATGAGCAAGGTGCCTTCTGGCACTGGCCTCGCTCTTGGGCCTGCCTTCCCTTCGCCGGTCTGTTCTACCACCGCCCTTATCCAAACTACTCTTGCCTGCTCACCCAACTTGCAGTGAAGCCCAGCCCTGGGGACTAGACATCCCCTGAGGGGCTCCTGTCCTGGCCAGGGCTGCTGCAGTGGACAGAGGACAGGGTCCCTAGAGGCCTTTGCTCGCAGGCACATACTCCCTTCCGCCACCATGGCTGGGCCCAAGCCCGTGGGTGTCTGTCCAACCCCCAAGCACTCCCTCCCCAGGACCGTGCAATGGTCAGAGTGGCCCCCAGGACCGTGCAATGGTCAGAGTGGCCCCCAGGACCGTGCAATGGTCAGAGTGGTCCCCAGGACCGTGCAATGGTCAGAGTGGTCCCCAGGACCGTGCAATGGTCAGAGTGGCCCCCAGGACCGTGCAATGGTCAGAGTGGTCCCCAGGACCGTGCAATAGTCAGAGTGGTCCCTCCCAGGGGATGGGGCCATGGGTGCTTGGCCCAGCTGTCTCTTCTCCATGCGAGTGCTGTTTTGGGCAGGAGTTGCCACGCAAGGTGACATCGACAACCATGTACAAAGCCACCGCAGCTGCTGCCGCTCTGCCGCCTGTACAAAAGAAACTGAACCTTTTTCATATTCTAATAAATCAATGTGAGTTTTTTAATAAGAGTCCAGGGCTGCTTCCTGGGAAGGAGGTCACCAGAGGAACTAGGCTCAAAGACTGGCACAGAAACACTGCCCCACCAGCTGCTGGTGTGGCTGGCACTGTGCCAGGTGCTGGAGATACGGCGCCATGGGGTAGACTGCACCCAAGGCCTCATGGTGCTCACGCAGCTGGAAACCCCTGAGTGGTGAGCATAGTCTGCAGGGCCGCAGGGCGTTGTCAGGAAGACTCCTGACTAGTACCCCAGGACTTATGCCTACAGAGGCCAATGGAAGACATGCAGGCCTCAGAAGGTCAGGATGGGCCGTTCCCCCTTGGGATTCCTCCTACTCTCCTGAGTTCTTTCTCGCTTTTCCTTAATACCTCTGTTTGCTCTGCATGATAAAAGCAGTGTGTCTGGCCCAGGGGAACAGAAAGGAAGGGTGGAACTTGTAGTTTATGGTTGGGTGGTGCAAAGCCTCTGAAGCCCTGTGTTCTCACCTGGGAAGTAGAGGTTGTACCTGTTAGAGTAAGGGGTTTTTGTGTGATGCTGGTGGGAACTGAGCTGCATTTCCAGTAGCTGACCACCAGAGGGCAGTGAGGTCTCAGCACGGAGGAACCTGTACTGTCCAAGAGGCTCTCTGCCCTGCCTGGGACTTAGATTCAGAGCTGTCTACTGAGGATGTCCGAAGCGGGCTTGCCAAAAGGATTATAACAAAGGACCACACTGCACTCCTGTGTTGCTGTCCCATCAGGAAACAGCTGGGACACTCAGAAGGTGCTGGCAGCGTTATGAATACCCACCAGGGATGAGGCCCACGACATCTCACTTCGGGGAAAACATGAACCTTCCACCCCACCCAGAGCACAGGACTCTACCTGATCCCAGAAGGGGGCGGAAGTAGGAGGGTTCCTTGAGGCCAACCTGGGACTCCCTGGCCACACTCTGCCCCAAGGATAACAACAACAATAAAAGGTTCTAGAGCTGTGGTTCTGGAAGGTGCTGTCCAGCCATGCTATGTGCACAAATATCAGATCAGAATTTCCACTCGGGTTCTCCCAACTGGGATGGCTCAGTGGTTAATAACTCAACTCCAACTCCAGAGGGTCCAACACCCTCTGACCACTGCACACAAACTCATACCTGCATATACGTATACACAAATAAAAAAATCTTTCCAGGCAGTGGTGGGGCACGACTGTAGTTCCAGCCCTCCGGAGGCAGAGGCAGGCAAATCTTTGTGAGTTTGAGGCCAGCCTGGTCTACAGAGAGAGTTCCAGGACAGCCAGGGTTACACAGAGAAACTGTGTCTTTAAAAGGCAACAACAATAACAAAGATTTTCATGTCAGTTTTTCTTTAATGGAAGGGGAGGAAGCACCCTTATCCTCAACACGGGAAATAAAATCTTAGCAACACTGTATCCCTGTCATCTTTCAGTCCTACTCAGGGATTAACTTGCAACGTTAATCATCACAAATTGAGTATGTTTGCTCACACCTGTATTCCCAATAACCCCAGTACTCAAGAGGCTGAGGCAGGAGGATTGCCACAAGTTTGAGGCCGCCTAAACTACAGAGGGAACACTAAAATAATTGGCTGGAAATACTGCTCAGTGGTTACAGTGCTTGCCAGACTTTAACCAAGTTTAGACCCCGATGATACATGTAAAAAGTCAGCTCTGCAGTATGGACAATCTCAGCACTGGGGAGGCCAGGCTGGGGTGGGGAGGATGCCTGGAGCCCGGCGGCCAGCCACCACTGATGCGCTTCAGGGTTAGAGAGAGACCCTGTCTCAAAATTAAAGTGGAGAGGGATTGAGGAAGACTCACAAAGAACTTTGTAAAATGTCATAGCTGAGCCGGGCGTTGGTGGCGCACGCCTTTAATCCCAGCACTGGGGAGGCAGAGGCAGGCGGATCTCTGTGAGTTCGAGGCCAGCCTGGTCTACAGAGTGAGTTCCAGGACAGCCTCCAAAACAATACAGAGAAACCCTGTCTCAAAAAAACCAAAATGTAGTCATAGCTGGATGGTGGGGGCACATGCCTTTAATTCTAGCAGAAGTAGGTGGATCTGTGTGAGTTTGAGGCCAGCCTGGTCTACAAAGCAAGTTCCAGGAAGGCTCCAAAGCTACACAGAGAAACCCTGTCTTTAAAAAATGCCACAAAGAAACCTTGTCTCAGGAAAAAATAATAATAAAGGTAGTCATTAGGGCCTCCTTAGGACAATGGAGCATAAAAACAGAAAACTTCAGCAGCCTCCCTTTTATGGCTGGTCACAGGAGACATAAGATGGTACTTCCCATATTACTTTTAGATATGTCTGGCTTTCTGTCCTTATCATGGGCAATACCGTGGCTGATTGGGTTTCCACCCTGGGCTACAGTAAGGGGGTTCTTTGGCTCCTACATGGGGTACCTAGTCACATCTGTCTCCAGAATAGCAATAACAAATTCTAGAGCTGGGAGGTCAAGAGAAGGGACCTGTGTATCTGTACTTGGTACTGCTGTGATGTTTGTTGGGTTCCCTGGTCCCCCACAGCCAAGGGCCACAGGAGAACTGGGGGGTTTCTGGTGAACCCCATGATTCCAGCCAGTCTTTCTGCCCACCCCCATTGTGTAGTAAAATTTAGTTTATTTCTGATAACCCAGGATAATTACCCTATAACTGATGTACTTGGCCCTCTTCCTGTCTCTCCGCTAAGCCACATACAGAGTTCAGCATGACCACAAGTCAAGGAATAATGGCAGGAATCCCTCCAGTAGGTAACTTTGAACAATAGAGCCAGTCCTACGTCCCTTGTTCCCATGCCTGTGAATCCAGGCTTTGAGAACAGTGGCTACTGTTTTGGAGTGCGCACTGTGTCATTGCCCATCAGAGGTCCCAACTTAGGGGGAAGTCTTCCAGCTTCCATTGTTCTATCCAGTTGGTACTGCTAGCAGCAGGGTTCCGTAGGGAACACAGCAGTCTGTGGAATACTGCAGATGGTGTATATCCAATGGCAGAGGACAGTGAGAGACTTTCAGCAGAATCCAGAAATAATGGTATTGGCAGAAGCAACCAGGTGGGAATGGAAGTCGGGGTCATTAGCAGCACTTAGACCCCTGAGGTGAAAACTGCTCCTTCACAAAGAAAGGGTGTCAACCTCCCAGGTTGCTTGCTACTCCCTGGGCGATGGTCCTCAAACTAGGAGCCCTCTCCCCAGGCCCTAATCCCCTAATCTCCCTATTTCTAAAGTCTTCTGATTATATATTGGTGTTCAGATGCCCAGCATTCACAGAAAGTGCTGTCTCAGAGGCGAGCTGCTGTGACCTCAACACTGGGGAGGTGGGGACAGTCAAGCAGAACAAGATACTGCTACAAGGTGATAAAAATAAATTATACATACATATATATCACTTTATGGACTATATAATATATATAAAGACGGCAAACCTGTCTGTGCCTTTTCCTTCAAGTTAATGGAACAGCAGCAACTCAAGTGTGAGCTAGAGAGAATTGCTACATGCCAGGGGAGTCTGCACCACCTGCTCATGCAGTTTCCTGCGCTTTCTGGGCTTGTCCAGACCTGACCTCGTAGTTGCTGTTTAATAACAGAATGCCAGCATGTGTGTCCAATTTTATGAGATGGGTCAGATAATCTCCAGCTCTGGTTACAGGGGTCACTTGGTATCCCACAGTCAGGCATTCTGTCCCTACGCTGTGGGCTACTTTTCAAGTGGAGAATAGTTATTGGTATAAATCGCTGGCATGGTTTAATAGAAAACTCCAAGGGTCGGTAGTACCAGGGGCTCCTGTTGGAGCTTGTCTGCCCAACATCTTTCTGCCGCAGCCTCTCTCTCTCTCTCTCTCTCTCTCTCTCTCTCTCTCTCTCTCTCTCTCTCTCTCTCTCTCTCTCTCTCTCTCTCTCTCTCTCTCTCTCTCTCCCTCTCTCTCCCTCTCTCTCCTTCTCCCTCTCAACGCTCACATGACTGGGTGTTGTCCTCTGCAGCCTGCACCTGCTTCGGGGCCCCTGTTCCCCAAAGTTACAGCTTCACAGAGTTTAAGGAAATGACTTTGACAGCACATGTGGATGTGGTAGATACTGCTCCCAAAATTCCAAGTCCCACAAAAGCCCACCCTCTGCCTCTTTTTTTTTTTTTTTTTTTTTTTTTTTTTTTTGGTTTTTCGAGGCAGGGTTTCTCTGTATTGTTTTGGAGGCTGTCCTGGAACTTGTTTTGTAGACCAGGATGGCCTCGAACTCACAGAGATCCGCCTGCCTCTGCCTCCCAAGTGCTGGGATTAAAGGCGTACACCACCAACGCCTGGCTTCTGCTTCTTTCTTTGAAGAGGGCGGCGTGAAGTTTGGCCACTGGTCTCTCATCTTAGAGGAAAGATCTTGACAGACCCTAACCACTGGGGTCCCCTAGGAGCCTCGTTGGCATGGCTGTCCCTGAAGTTTTGTGAGATTTATTCTCCTTCCTTTATTGTTTTCTTTAGATTTATTTTGATTGTTTTGTGTTTTACCAGCGTATATACCTGTGTGCCTAGTGTGTGAGGAGGCCGTGAGTCTCCATGAGAACGCTGGGAATTGAAACCTGGTCCTTTGCAAGAACAGCATGAGCTCTTAACCGCTGAGCCAACCTTCCAGCCCCCTTTATTGATTTTTTAGAAGTCGTATTACATTTTATTTACCTTGTGTGCGTGAGTGTGTGTGCTTGTGGAGGTGAGAGCACAGCTTGTGAGAGTTGTGAGGTAATGGGCTGGCCTCGTGTTCAGAACTTGATCATGATGATTCATGACCCTTGGCTTATAATGTGATAGATAAAAGGAGTGTGGGCAGATCCTAGAGGTGACAGTGAGGTAAACATTTGGGGACTAGCTTGGTCACTATTCTATTGCTGTGAAGATACGTGACCAAGACACCTTCTAAAAAAAAGCATTTGCCAGGGAGTGGTGGCGCACGCCTTTAATTCTAGCACTCGGGAGACAGAGGCAGGCGGATCTCTGTGAGTTTGAGGCCAGCCTGGTCTACAATTCGAGTTC